AACAGGCTACTGTATAGAAAATTGGTAATCATTTTCTGACACAAAAGAGTAAACCGATAGCCACGATATGAAATATGAAAGGGTACCTGCAGGTAAAGATTGTTCATGACGAGGTTTTCGCCGGTGGTCGGCCATGGGCTCTCGAACAGCATCGAAATACACGACAGTATCGTTATTGTAACCATTCCCCAGTCCAAATAAGGCATTATTCCGATGAGAGTCCTGTAAACGAAACCAGTAAACAAGTTTCAGTATTAATTTTCCAATTTTTGAAAGGCATGTCTAAGTTCTTGGTAAGCTGAAGTGTATAGGCCTGACAATATTGGCTTACACTGAAACTTCAGAATGGCCTTTCCCCCCTATTTTCTAAAAGCTTGATATAAGCAGTAGCCATTACATCACATTCAGGCACTGGACTGGTTCAGTGAGTTCCCTAGACATTGTAAACCACGAATCTTGGAATGAGGATTAGCACGATGGTTGGGGGACGGGCGTTAGGAACGATTATTACAGCTCTAGCGTTCTCCACACAGCTCAATCGATATGCGATCATTATTTTATGCATAATCCTACTATTAGTGCTTTTGTTTTGTATTTCTTACCCACTGCTGCATCCTGCTACATTCCTTCGCGCGCGACGTCCCTCTCACCGCGACGTGACCATTTCGTTCCTAACGCACTACACCCCGAATGGTTTACTACCGCAAACCCTGACCTGAACGCTTTTTGTGGTATTCCGGGTAAGACTTCAACTGGCAACTTTATTCCATTCGTAGCAGAGCATATGAAGCCAGTAAAAAGAGTTGAGAAAGGAGAATGAAAGGAAACGGAAATTGAAAACATAAGAACACCAAGCATAGACAGTAAGCGGAAGTTCCACTCCCCAGAGAACCCGTATGACTGGGTTAGCGGTCATTGTCCTTTCAATTAAGGAGTAAAAGGTATGTAGAAGGGACATCCTCGTCAACTTGTTTCAGGTAGGTCTCAAAAACTAGTTCTCCTTTTTAAGAACCTTCTGACATACCGTATCTCTTTGAAGCGCCGTTTTGTTTTCACACCACCATTGAGCCCGTCATCTTGGCAGTTGTATCGCGAGTGGACAACCTGAATCAGTTTTCGTGAATTAACTCTTTCAGTGAAAGTAAAATACAAACACTCATCCAAACTAACTTGCTTTTAGAAACTTACTATTTATGTTTGGAAGGCATTTGGTAAAGGAAATTGTGTAGCAGGTGCTTCGCGAGTTTTGATCAGCCATTCCAATTCTACTGCCCACTGTCGTTTTACCGGGTACATGCGGATGCTTTTTCCGGATGAGGTGAGGAAAAGAGGTTTTATGAGGGGGTAAACGCCTTCAACCATGGATTAGGGGAAAGCGCTCTCAAATGGCGATTTTCCGAATCTTGGTAAGCCATTTTATAAAGGTGCGATTACGGTAAGTGTATACCTACATGAGACGAATAAAAAAAACTCCAAAAGACGTTTGAATTCCCCAGAAAGTGCGGAAGCATCCTTTATTAACTGTCATTTTCAAGTTTTCTGTAATGGACAAGCACGTTTGAGTAAATAAGAAGGGCTTCAGAGCAACAAGTACAGAGAGCATTCCTGGAAGAAAGGCGAAAGGCGTTGTGGGCTGGCGCTCTCCCACGACGGCCGAGTCATAATTGCTACCCCAGCGTCACAACGTGATAAAGTTCACATCCAACGACGGCTTTTAGCTTTTTTCGTGAGTTCCCTCTCTGGACGGAGCTTGAGCTCAACGGCCGAGCTCACATTTCTTATTCTGGCCTCTGCCATTGAGCCCAGCCCCTCAATTGCGCCTAGTCAAGATCAGTACCTTATCTGTTACTGTACGTACTGGTAGTAAATATCGCCGAGTGAGAAATGACAGACAACAAGAGGTTGCCTCAGAGAAAACATAGCGCCGGCCCTTTTGATCTCTCTATCAATGATTTTCCCAGAGCACACGAGCAGTGCGGTGTACGGTGCAGTGACTCGTACAATAGTCGGTGGGCACTGGCTAAAACGGTCCCGATATGGTATGCACGAGCCAGCTAATTGTCAGTTTAAAGTGAGAAAATCGTGGTCGAGTGCGAACCATTCGCTCCACTGACGCTTGGAGGTACTGCCATCTGGAGGTGGCAGTGGCACGCGAAGAGGGCGGGGTGACCTGAACTCAACGGACGCGCGGAACGAACGTTCCCGAACGAGACGAATGGTACGTTTGAATGAGGGACACATCGTCGGCCATCTCTTACGGCCCCTCTACTTACTACTTTTTTGGAGTCCTTTGCTTATTTGAAATCCAAAAGTTTTTGCGATTTATCCCCAACCCTTGCACTATTCTGCACAATGTCTTCCATTATTTCACTCAAAATAGATACCTCAAACTTATCGTGGACTGTGCCATTAAGCTGATTTCAAGTCTCATGTTCGATTAAAAATAATTCCACAAGAAGGTAAAAACATAGTCGAAGATATGGAATAGAAAGATTTCGAGAGAAACGGTTTTTCACTGGATTGTGTGCTACAGAAATGATGCTGTCCACCCCCAGTGCGAAGGCTTATTCTAAAAAATTACCTTCTTGCAAAACTCCCGTAATCGCGATGCTCGTCCGATGAGAAACAAGGGTCGATCGAAATAGGGATGATTTTCTCTCATGTCTTCCTCTATTCGTGTCCTAAAACGGTTATTACGTAAGTTCCAATCTCAAAACTCGTGCCATAAGGTAAGTATGGAAGCGTCTTTATGAGGGCAAGTGCTCAAAAAAAATAGTCCGAAGTTCTCAAATCTACTCTACGGAAGCTTTCTACCATCTCGAACAGTGCCTTCACGTTAGTGGCAGAGAAACTCAAACCAAAATCCTCGTTAAAAAGGAAAAAAATCGGCCAAGTTAGCTGAGACCCGATCTGAAGACCATATGATTAGTGCTATCCTTGACTGCAGAATCATCTTCGCTCATGGCATGGTCCCTACCGTGAGCTCCTGTTCAGGGCTCCTGTTCAAGGCTGCAGAGAATAATCATACCTGGTGATCTCGGCTAGATGGCGTTTCTGCTGTAGTGCACGTATGTCAATTTCTCCTTGTTTGAGCTCCTTTTTCGGAGCTGAATCAGATGGTCGAGAAAGATCTCCATTCTCATTGTACAACATCTGTTTCGCAGTCATCGTCGTGTGCAGAAATTTCCCAGACATAGTGCGTGATTTCCTGTAACCATCGGATTTTAGCGCCAGGTCATTGTGGTCTAAAGAACATTGCCATACTCCAGGTCTTACTTGTTTTGAGTTAACTGTTGGTAGCGTATGGGTACTACGTATGGTTAGGTGCGCTACTAAATCTAAGGTAACTAGCTATACTCTAGTCAGGAGGATTTCCTATGTTGGCTAGAAAATGTTGTCTGCATTACTTAACCTCACAGCACCTTATCTATGAGAGTTGAAAGGAGTGAAGAGGCAGCTCTGACTTGTACATGGCTATCTCACGCTATTACTTATGGACCTGATCTCGAATTCTTTTCTCACAGACAGAGTGCGGTTAATAAACTTAGACGGTTCGGTCCATTACGGTAAACATACGGTAATGCATCCTTCCGAGGATGGAGACTCCCAGATGAGCGGTAGAAGTGAGGCAAGAAGTTGAGCGAATTCGTGACTGACTGGCGAGTACGATCTGATATTCTGAAATTTTGAACTCAATAAAACGTATACGAAACTTATTCTTTTTTGCCAAAATCTTCGTCGGGTTCACCGAAAGAAAGAAAAGATTAAAATAGAATGAACCTTGCTCACAATCACCCTTACTAATAGTTACTGGACCTCCCCTATGCATGAAAAACTTTTGAAAAGTTCCTCGAATCAGAGAAGTCATATAGAGAACAATCTCCTTCCTTAGCTCAACTAACACTCTTAGAAATTCATTGAATTCTCGAAGTACTTACTCAAGAAGATGAGCAATACTGTTACGGAGCGATATGCTACCGATATGTCGGAAATGTGGCTCTTCTCGGCAGTACTTTCTCGATGGCGCCAATTGCAATAAATTTTTCGACCGATCAGATTCTAAAATCATGGATATTTAGGTTTCAGAAACCTGGTTGAGAGAGCGGTCCCATATGATTAACTGAGCAGTTGAGCCTGTTCTCATCAGTGTGGTTGGGATAATTGTAATCCGATCACTGTGAGCAGCATAAGGGTCAGTTCTTCTCAATATTTTGGTCTTTTTGCCATCACCAGAACTCAACAGCACCGTAGTATTTGTTAGAGAACTACTCCTCGGTTCCCAGGGAATACTGACGTGCTATTGAGGCCTCAAAAGAGACACGGTGGATAGGCAAGTTGAATAAGTCCTTATCATCCTGTATAACTTTAATATCCAAGCCATATCAAGGCTGCTCCAAGATTTCCTGAAGACCGAATGCGGTCATTCCGAAGTATTGTATTTCCGATTGATAGAGCCAATTATTAGGAACCTCTTTGGGGATTCCCTTCATGGAACAGACATATATGAAGAGGAATATAAGAGAAATGCAGAAATTTCGAGAGAAACCCCACTTTATGCCCTTTTTATTTTTTCCCATCGATAAACAGTGAACCTACCCTGATCACAGACTTCCATGTCGACACCTTCTAATGCGAATTGATGGGCGAAGCTGTCACGAACCTTAGGCATGGGAAACTCGGAATCCACACTGAAAATATGAAAATAAAATAAAAAGAGGCAAGTTTTTACTGAAGGTGCAGAACACCAACAAACCATGTGGCCTTAACACTAAATTTTCACTTTTTACCAATCTAGACCCTCCGACAGTTTTCCATCAACTCCAATCGCCGAAATCGTTTTACTTGTCTAGAACTTACTAGAAGTTTTCTGCATTTTAGAATCTAACAGAGGAAGGGTTTTTTAGAAGCCATATGTTCCGACTTTTCTGCCACCTCTTAACCGTCTCTTGATATGAGGGGTGCTTTGATCACCTCCGATCTCAAGTTACATTGCTCCCCACCGTTAACGTATTCCCTCAAATAAGTTCTGGTGGTAGAACATTATTCTTTGGACTTCAAGATACGTCATTTCAGTGACGTTTGACGGAAACTACTCAGTTTCCAGAAAGTAGCATTACCTTTATGGAGATGGTGTAGCAACAACTCACCGTCTCATCGTCGCCATCTGCGGTCTCGTCGGGAACTTCTCAAACACCCGTAAACGCCATGGCAATGTCGAACGCATCGATGTAGTCTGAATATCCTCTGTTTTTAGTTAGGCATGAAAATGCAGTCACTGAAGAAATCCTAACAATTCTCCCTTCGCAGGCTAATCTTTCATGATTCATAATACTTCACTGGTACAGAATTTCAAAAAAATTTAAAAAAGAAATAGTAAAGTGGTTTAAATGATATGTATCTATTACTGAATGGATTTTCATAGACCGTTATACCTATAAAGCTGCGCTTTGGACCTGCTTTACACTACTCTCTCAACAAACAAAGTTTTTCAAAGCAAAACGAACCGCTTCTCGGGCTCTCAGCTGTTTGACCTTTTTCAATTCTTCGTCCATCTCAAGATTATCGAGAATAACGGCGACGAAAAGGCTGAGCACAATCTAAAGAGGAGTAAACGGGTTGAAGCTCAAAAGAATCATTTGCATCTCTAAGACTCACCAAGGTGACAAACAAATGATATGCTACGAAGTAGATGGCAACAAAAGGCACGAGTTTATCGTCGGTAGCTCGCAGTACTTCTACAACAAAATCCGTCCAACCCTCCTGTGTGATAATTTGGAACATTGACATGAAAGCCTGAATATAAATTGTTGCTCGGAAAAAGGATTATAGCAGTTAGGCGTATGATGGGAGGCCCGATTTGTCCAATGGTGTTTCTTAGCTAGTTGTCTCGCCGCGCGAAATGCACTCATCGATTGTCTTTGTCAGTTGCCCCGACGCGCGGCATATTGATCGGAACTCCCATGCGCCATCCTACCAGCTGCAGTACATACCTGAGGAAATGTGTGAAAGTGATGAAGCTTTGGTACAGCGTAGAACAACTGTAGTGATATGGCAGATGCGATAATTACGAAAGTGATGGTGAAAATGACCAGACCCCCGAGTTTTTTCCCAGGGCTGAATATCTGAAATGAATGAAACCTCTCGAACAATTTTTCATTCTTCGACAGATCGGTGACTTACCTTCCATACAAAATCCTCGAGTATTGGGGATGCTTTAATGAGGCGTAAGAGACGAAATGCTTGGAAGTAAGTGAAATAATTACGATCGTAGAAATATTTGATAGCATTCAGTGAGCTGCCTATACATAAGATTAATTCGAACTTGAAGATTCCACGACGAAAAAAATTCCGGAAACCATAGCACAAGATCTTAATCAGGCATTCCAAGTTGAATAACATCGTGAAGCCCACCTAAAAGGAGAACCATATTACGATAAACCTTCAAGACAGAATAAAATTATGTTTCGATTCTTCCGATTTTTCCTTCAATCTCTTTTCGTTCTCGGGGCCGAAAGAGCAGGAAGTAGGAGGAAGTTAAAATTTTATAATTTACGCAAAAAATTAAGAATTATAAACTGAAAATTGCCAGCTTAGAAGGCATTTAATGAAAGAACCAGGCGGCTACGCACGCTCTCTCGCGCGCTAGGGGCTCTAGCCATGAGAGACGGAGCCGCATGAGCTGATTTTCATTATAGACCTTTATTGGATTCATGAGTTTCCGCTCAAACCTCGCC